TTCAACAGCAAGTGCTCTAGTCACACCGCGCAAGTTGCAGAAGGCAAAGACAGGGAGAATGAAGAACTTCCCACTGTAGGAGAAGACCAGGCTCAGGACTGAAGGCGCTCAAGTCCATGGAACCTGATGAGATGCATTCGCGGGTCCAGAGGGCACTGACAGATGAAGTTGCAAAACCACTCTCCATGATATTTGAGAGGTTGTGGCGGTCGGGGGAGGTCCCCACCAATGGAAGAAAGGGCAACACCACCCCCATTTTTAAAAAGGGAAAAAAAGGAAGACCTGGGTAACTATAGGCCAGCCAGTCTCACCTCTGTGCCTGGCAGGATGATGGAGCAGATCCTCCTCGAAAATACGCTAAGACACGTGGATAACAAGGAGGTAACTGGGGACAGCCAACATGGCTTCAGCAAGGGCAAATCGTGCCTGACCAACTTGGTGACCTCTGAATGTCATCACTAAGCAAGTAGAGGAGAAGAACGCCAGCAGTGTGCCATGGCTGTCAAGAAGGCCAAGGGGATCCTGGGGTGCATTAGGAAGAGTGTGGCCAGTAGGTCGAGGGAGGTTCTCCTTCCCCTTCTACTCTGCCCTATTGAGGCCCCATCTGGAGTACTGCATCCAGTTCTGGGCTCCCCAGTTCAAGAAAGATGAGGAGCTACTGGAGTGAGTCTAGAGCAGGACTACGAGGATGATGAGGGAACTACATGATCTGTAAGGTCCTTTCCAACTCAAGCCATTCTGTGGTTCTGTGATGTGTCAGATGAGATTGCACATATGTGGAAGAAAATGGCTTTAAGAATTATTTTTAATACTGTGATGAAGCGATCTTTTTCCTTTTATTAAAACACTCGGTGCATCAACAGGCAGGTAACACTGGGGTCAGTAAACCAAATAGAAGACCTGGCATTAAGGGTTCCCTTTCCCTGTGCTTAGCTCAGCACTCTTTGTGGTCCTCAAAACATGGAGGATTCAGTTTTACTGCATTAGTTAGCTGTCTCATAGGTGGGCCAGCTTTGAAATATGTGCACACGGTTCAGTGTTTGAGAGTTTTTGTGCAAAGACTTTGAAGGGAGCTAATCTTCAGTGCTTTTGATTGATCTGTTTCTAAATAATCTCCACACTTGCCATCATAATCCTTTTAGAAATATCATCCTGAAAACATGAGTGAGAAACAGGTAATAAATGCAAGGGACAAAAATAATCCCAAACATACGCGTCCTTTTCTCTCTATATATTAGTGCTTCTATTTGCAAGTCACAGAAATTATACATTTGACAAGGTGTTGACAGTCTCATCTCTGAGCTGCTGATTTTATGTTATTTCTTCTTTTTATAAAGGCACAGATCTTCATATCCATATGTCTTTCATGTGGTATGAAGAATATTAATGCAATTTTTTGTGCCGTTGCTCCTCCTTATGAATTAATAATTTAACAGACCTAGCCATTAAATAGCTGATAAAGATGGACCTGTTTTCTGAATAGCTTATCACTGGCATATTCAGGCATTATAGTCATGAATCAATTATCATTGCATTAATGCTACAGGATGACTTTAAGGAAAATACACCCAACCAAATAATAGTTTCATAGCGATTATTCTTGGCCATACATTTAGCACCCAAGCCAAGTAAATCCAGATGTGGTGGCAAGGCCTACAAGAAAGAATAGTCCTGTATTAACAAAAAGGTAATGGTGCTAGCTTAATTCACATATAATCTCGTCTTCTGGATTGAATTTTGAAGCAGAATTTCTAACTCATTCAAAATCTTTAGCAAAACTCCCACCTGCTTTTAGAAGCCTAGAAAGAAAATGCTGGTTCTGCAAATCTCACAGGAGAATGTGGGCTGTTACCACTTTCTTTGCAATTTAAACTGTATCATTTAAATTACATCTACAAGTATCTATTTAGTGCCTGTCAACTTCAGCGAAGCACAAAAAAAGACAATGTAACTTAAATTGAGAATTATATTACAATATATGCATCCATTTGTCTCCTAAGGGAGACCCCACTATCTCAAGAAGAGAAGTATATGTTACTTTGAATACCTGAAAGTCAGCAACCAAAAGAAAAAAATATTTCTGTTTCATTGTCAAATTGATCACATCCCTCCCTCATCGAAAAGCAGTTCTCCTACTCAAAGAATCATAGAGTTTCAGAAGTGTTAAGGTACTTTAAATTTTGTTCCTTCAGAGAAGTGATACAGGCTTAGAAGTATTACACAGTGGGACAGCTAGTTAGCCCATGAAATAGAATTAGTGTCAACTCTGTAGAGATGTCAGTGTGCCAGTGTGAAAGGATTAGTATGGTAGAACAGTTAACAAAATTAGCTATAAAGTATGTGTGGGGAAATTCTAACATGAAGAAAATTTGTATCATAAAGTGGATTATGGGAATTTCTGATGAAACACTGAGAGTAATTGGTATAACTTTATTAATAGCTTCATTGGGTTAATTATTAGTGAAACATACATAGCAGGAAAGGGATTACTCTTATGTGGTGTTTAAAAATAAAATAAATCCTGAATCCTTGGGTTTTATTAGCTATAAGTAGCTTGCAGAGATAAGGGAGAAAAAGCATTAAATTCAAGCTGGGTTTTCTTTAAGTCTGTCATGATGCAAATGTCTCTGTGGAATAGCAGTAATTCACCTGGAATGGCCGTTTCTTACATTTACTCTTTTTAAGGATATTGACATTTAAATTTGAAGTTTGCTTGATATTTTTTTGGTTGTTTCAGTAAAAAACAAGGAATGATGCCAAGTAATTTTGCTGTGCTTCTTAAACTGCTGTACAATTATTTATTCAGTAGAGGTGGCTAGAAATGGCTTTTGCTTTATTTCAATATGTCATTAATGTAAAATCTTTGCTATTACTAGAGTCATGAGGATTTCTGCAAAATAGGATTTACATGTAGAAGTCCTTCTGCCAGATGGGGAACAGGCATCATAATATTTCACATTCGATTTGTTGCCTTACTACTGTTGCTGAAGTATTTGCTGTGATTTCATGGTGATATAGATTTCTGTTTACAAATGAAAGCTTTAAATGTATTTCAGATTAATACTATTAGATCTTATCTAGAACTGGACATCAATTTGCTATATTTTTACTAAAGCTTTAGAATTGTTCCATATTGCAATTTGAAAATGATTCAGAAGTCAGTTTACTGATTTGCAAGTGAAATTTTTCTTAAAACACATTTATCAAAGTTTTACTTATTATAGAGATCACTAAATAAACACTACAGGACGTAGTGGTTGGGTTACAAGTTATTGTTAAGTTATAGTTTAACTATTTTTAGGAATGATAGGAATGCATCAAACTGTGATGGTTTAAAGCAACCAAGCTTGTAAGGATATTTATTGAGAATTATTAAAAGATTGTTTTATATATTTAGTAGCCTGATAGAAGTTTCTGTTTCAAGTATGGAAAAGAACAACTCTTGAAAAACATAAATAATTAAAGTGCTATATTCCAATTTACATATAGATTACATTACTGTTTCAACTTACAGAAGCAGTTGTTCAATTTGTTTTATTTCCTAGTCTTCTTTTACTTTATGGTTGTATTTGAACCTCTCTTTACATAGAGAAACAGTTCAGAGGTTTATTTAATAAGCAGGAGTTGGGGAGATGCGAGCTTTTCTATTACACCTCTTCAGTGACTTGATGCAGACACAGCTACACAAAATAGATGTTTGCTGATAGGTTGTGATCAGCATTACAATACTGGCAGTGAAAAAGGAAACATAGAGGTTGAAGAACATTGAGCTGATACGTCACTTCTGCCCACTTCTATTGTTATGCAAAAAAAGGAACTGACATATTTTAAATTGTGCGTTTGAAAAATCACCACAATTTAGTTAACTGAAAAGAGGCAAACAGCACGTCTATATAGTACTTCGGGTTGACTGGCAATAGAGCTGTCCTCCCTCTTAACGCAGATGTACAGAATTATTCTGTAAATGAAATACCTCATTTTTTTTCTTCATAAGTGTAAAACTCGCATTTGTTTTACAGATCTATGATGGCAAAGACAACACTGCTCACTTGCTGGGTGCGTATACTGGGGCATCATTAAGAGGCCTGACGCTAAGTAGTACTTCAAATCATTTGTGGTTGGAATTTAACTCAGATATGGAGGGCACTGATGAAGGTTTTCAGCTTGTGTATACCAGTAAGTATTTGAGAAAACAGCAATAATACATTTATTATTTTAAAGGAATGAAAATTCTTTGCTGAGAAGATGTAAATGTAATCAAAAGACAAATAATAATAAAATCAACACCGAACCACTGATCACTCATCAAAAGTTTCATAACTGTACCTCAAAAAACCCCAAAATGTCTAGAATACTGAAACCTTGCTTTGTCAGTACTTTGAGTAGTTTGATACTTAAACCACTGTCTTTTTTTTCTGAAGGGTTATTTTAAATTTTTTTTCAGTCTTGGTAAGAATAAGAAAAAATAGGATCATTTTCAGTTAATTGTACTAGCATATAAAAGTATCTAAGTGTGTGAGTAGTTTTAAATGTGTTACCAAAACCCATTGTTTCATAAAGATAATTAATTAGTAAAAGACATTCTTCAGACTTCTGCCCAATACTAACTTTGCATTAGAGTAGCAATTTCTGTGTTTGGATTATTATTTAAAATAGTCTAATTTGGAACCAAAAATCATAAAGAAAGATTCCTAATAAAAACTTTTCACCTATATGTAGACTGACAAAATTAAACTATGAAGATAAGAAGATGAAAAATCTTTTCAGATCTCTGGCTTAGAAGATGTGCAGGAAAGTGTGACATCTATTTTATCAAGTGGCAACTTCTGAAAATGTATATGGTTGTTACATGTGTCTATTGACACATAGTGTATATGACTTCTTTAGTGTGTAGCTATTTCATCATCATTGAAATATTATATAAATTCGATTTTTTAGAAAGCAGAGCAGTATTGTAATTGATGTGATTTTGCCTCAATTTGACACAAAAGGACCAGGCAGTTACTCTCTCACTCCCCTCTCCCCTCTGCCGTGGGATGGGGAGGAGAATCTGAAGGCAAAAAGGCAAAAACTAGTGGGTTGAGATGAAAACAGTTTAACAGAATGGCAAAGGGAGAAGAAAACAATCAATAATACTGATAAAAGCATATCCGGTATGCAGTATTCTCACCATCCGATGCTCAGCTTGCTCCTGAGTAGCAAAAAGCCATCTCCTTCAGCCAGCTCCCCACTTGAATACTGAGCATGGCACCACATAGTGTAGAATATCCCATTTGATTGACTATTTGGGTCAGCCCAACCAGCTTCTTGTGAAAATTAACTCTGTCCCAGCTGAACCCAGAACAGTAAGGCATTTCTGCAATGCAACTATCAACACCCTTTTTTCTCTCTGTGCTTAAATCATTCATTTTCACCTGTTCAAAAAATGTTCTTACATTTCAGAAATTCTCCATCATGTTTTTAAAACTATTTCTAATAAAACTAACATCAGTTTAACAGAATGAAAGGAAATTGTTTCAAGATACTACCAGAGTATGCAATTGTTTTTCAGGTGAAAGTTGTATAATTATACCACATAATAGCCTGTGATATCATAGGGCTGTACCCTATGACTAAAGATAGACCTTCCCTGTGTTAATATATAAATGCCGAGGTATTTAGTTTTTATTATTTCTATAGGTGCGTTCAAGCCCACCACTTGACCCTCATCATTATATTTCCTGTCTTTTGAGAGAGGCATTCTTGTGTAATACACTTTTGCAGTCTGAATAGCTAATTGCCTGAACAGTGCTGAATCTTCTTTGTAGATATTTGTAGAACTGGAAGAGAAAAAGTGAGAAAAACTCATGGGTCAAAATAAAAACAGGGAGGAAAGGGAAAAAGAAAAACCCAGTGATGCAAAGGCAGTCACTCATCACCTCCCACAAACAGACCAATGCCCAACCAGTCTCTGAGCAATGGCCCCTTTGGAAAGATTACCCTCCACTTTTGTTGCTCAGCATGGCATTGTATGGCATGGAATATCTCTTTAGTCAGCTGAGGTCAACTGTCCCAGTTGTGTCCCCTTCCAGCCTCTTGCCCACCTCCAGCCTACTTGCTGCAAAGGCAGAGTGAGAAACACAGAAAGACTTGCTGCTGTGCAAGTACTGCTCAACATCAGAAACATTAGTGTGTTGTCGAAACTGGTTTAGTCAATCTGAAACACAACACTATATGGGCTGCTATGAAGATGATTAACTCCATCCTAGCTGGACTCAGTATGCTCCATCTCCTTTACACTCTCCCTGCAAATTTATATGCATGGATAAGATTCCTCCTGAGCCTTCTCTTCTCCAGGTTGAACAGTGCCAGCTCTCTCAGCCTTTATCCATAGGAGAGATGCTCCTATCCCTTAATCATCTTATTGGCCTTTCACTGGACTCTTCATTAGCTTCACATCTCATATTTGCCAGCCCAGAAATGGACACAATACTCCAGTGGTGTAGTGGATATGGCCTCGTCAGTGCTTAGGGTATAGGGAAAGGATCACCGACGACGACCTGCTGGCAACATGCTTCCTAATGCAGCCCGGGATATTACTAGCCTTCTTTGCATCAAGGGCAGCTTGGCATCCACCAGGATCTCCAGGTACTTATCTGCAAAGCTGCTTTACAGCATATTCTGGTGGTGCAGTTGCTCCTCGCCAAGTACAAGACTTTGCACTTCTCCTTGTTGAACATCCTGAGGTTCATGTTGGTCCATTGCTCCAGGCTGTCAAGGTCGCTCTGGGTGGCATCATGACCCTCTGGTGTACCAGCCACTCCTCCCAGTTTCGTATTATCAACAGACTTGGTGAGGGCACTTTCTGCCTCATCATCCAGATCATTAATGATGATTTTGAACAAGATTGGACCAAATATTGACCCCTAGGGCACACCACTAGTTACTGGCCTCTATCTAGACTGTGTGCCACTGACCATCACCCACTGGCCATTTTCCATTGTGAGAAATACATCTAATAGTTGTTTTGCATAGATATAGACAATGCAAACTTCCAAAAGTACCATGGGCTTATCTTGATGGTTTTAAGTAATAAACAAAATCCCCACAAACTGTAATGAAACATTCTGTGTCTTCAGGGGCACATTTTGGGTATTCATGCTCTTTCAGTTGCATAAAATAGCCAACTATTGCCATTGCTGATCACCTTCACTATGTCCCTAGCTACCCAGTGGTTCTCCAGAATACAGTCTTCCTTTTGGTCCTGTTGCCAGAACTGTCAGCACTGTTTGGATAGCTGAAATACACTTACGGCTGCAAAAGTGCTGCCAGTACCTATACTTAGGCAATGGAGTTACATGCTCACCCTGAAAAGGGAAGTGATCACTTAAAAAGACTACTTTGATGCTGTGTCTATAAGTAGGCCATCCAGAGATGAGGACATCCTGGGGACCAAGGCACATTTTAATATGAAAAAAGGTTCTTAATTTGGAACTCACATTAGCCCATTTTAGAGCTGCTGCAGTGCAGTCTGTAATGGGAAACAATAGCTTAACTACGAATGAGAAGTATTCAGCTCAGAGGTTGTGGAGGCTCTTCAGGAGATGAGTCATTTTCAGTGTGACAATGAATGAGCTGAGGGAAGAACTGGGAAGAGACAGCATTTGATGTGGCTTTTTTTCCTTACATGAGCAAACAGCCTTATCCAGCCTGAAGCATTTGTCTGTAAAACAAAATAACGATTCTTTTTTCAATCAATCAATAGCAATGATTCAGTACCTCAGGAGAGATTGTGAAATGCTACCGTTGACCGGATGGACAAATATTTTGTAAATGACTTCACTGAACAAAGTAGATATTAAAAACCCTTCATTTGCTCCTACGTCACCTACATATAGGAATATCAATTTGACACAATGTGCCTTTTTTACCTACAAAGATTTTGAGCTGCATGATACTGACAAAATACATTTGGTGTTGAACAAAATGAGGTTTCAAGCTGCTTCTTAGTTAATAACAGAAAATCTTTTTTGGAATAGACAATCTTTCTTTCAAATTATAATTTATGTTTCCCCAAATGTTAATATGCTTTCTGTTTCTGTATAATGCACATGATTTTATTTCCTTCTTGCTCCACGTCTCTTTATTCTCCAAAATGTCCAAATTGTTTGGCTTGAATTCTCTATATCATCGTTGTTATTGCTTCCTGCATGTGGTTTTTTAATTTACAAACTATTGAATGCAGGATTATGGTAAGGATTGATGAATAAAACAGTATTTCTTTGGTGCCATAGGTTCTATTGTGCTGTTGGTGTTACTGTGCACAAGAACAACAAACAAATCTGCTGTGCAATTTTGTTTATGAGCCTTTAAAAGTCTATTCAGAAACTAGATTGTCATCAAAGTAAATGGCAGTCACTTTAGCCGCCGTTTTGTAATTTATCATATCATTTTAGAAATTATTGATATTGATAATTAATTTCCTTCTCAGTCTTTAATTGGACTCTAAGGAAAAATGTTGTGAGATTCGTTTGGTTTGCATGATCTAAGTGAGGGGTAGAGACCATTGTCCTATTTAGACTGTCTGAAAACAAAGAAGCCTTAAATATGTTATTACGTGAAGTCTAAAAACATTTGATTTCCATTTGGAAAACAGAAAATCTTACTTTCATTGATGTATTTATCTGTTTGATTTTTAACTACAGTGTTTTATTCCTGCCACAGGTTTTGAGCTTTCGCATTGTGAGGACCCTGGTGTGCCACAGTTTGGATATAAAATCAGTGACCAAGGCCATTTTGCTGGAAGCACTATAATTTATGGATGCAATCCAGGTTACACACTCCATGGAAGTAGCCTTCTAAAGTGTATGACTGGGGAAAGAAGGGCATGGGACTATCCTCTACCATCATGTATTGGTATTAGACTCTTTTATGTTTTATTTTTTTATTTACTTAAACTATTATCTGAATATAGCAAACAGAAAAATTGTAAGGCTTTTTAGATCTATGTGAACTCTTAACTGTATGTAAACACATCTATTTACATATCCACTTACAGATCAGTTTGCATTGATCTCTTTTAACCCTATGTGAGTGCTGTTGCCTTTTTTAAGTTTAAAAAAGGTAGTAACTATTAAACATTAGTGCATACTAAAATTCCTAATACATGAAAATCTAGTTATAGTCAGAAAATTGTAAACATAAAAAGATAGCTTAACCAGAAAGCCAGGACCATATATGTATTAAGAGGGGTTGTAAGATACTGGGGTTTTTTTCTAGTTGTATCTAAGTAACATTAAGCTAGAAAACTTTTCATATATTTACATATAAATGCTATTAAATGAATTAAAATAAAACTTTACAGATAGAAAGAGATATAGAGCTATATTGTTTTTTTGTCACTTTGTTCCTGTTACATTGCTATGATGAATAACACAGTATTATACACCTTATTATGATATTACAGTAACTTTATAAGTAGTGCAGGTACTTCCAGGCTCAATTTCTTCCATTGGAGAGCAAAAAGGAGACAAGACTTAAATATTCTAGTAATTTTCTTCCCTTTTCATCTCCTTTTAGAGGAAATTGGGATTGAGCAAGCAGGGGAACCAAGGGGTGAAACGCACTCTGTGCCTAGATTTAAGTTTGACAGAAAGCAATGGACTTTGACATATCTTTATCAAGACATAAAAGCTATTTAGGAAAAATATATAATAAATAAGAACGGAACAGCTCTCTTAGACTAATAATTAGGGGATAAACACTTAAATTGTAAAGTTTGGATAAGCCTTAACTGATTTCTACATCATTTAAGATATGTGAAACTAAAGAATTAGGGGAAAAGTGTGACATTGGAATGTGTAAGTAGAAAATAGATGTACAAAGAATGTATGACAGAAATTGAAACAAAAAGATTCCCCGATGGAATGCACCCAAGAGTACTGAGGGAGCCGGCGGATGTCATTGCTGAGCCACTCTCCATCATCTTTGAGAGGTCCTGGAAGACAGGAGAGGTGCCCGAGGACTGGAGAAAGGCCAATGTCACTCCAATCTTCAAAAAGGGCAAGAAGGAGGACCCAGGGAACTACAGGCCGGTCAGCCTCACCTCCATCCCGGGAAAGGTGATGGAGCAGCTTATCCTGGAGGCCATCATCAAGCAAGTGGAAGAAAAGAAGGTTATCAGGAGTAGTCAGCATGGATTCACCAAAGCGAAATCATGCCTGACCAATCTGATAGCTTTCTACAATGACAGGACTGGCTGGGTAGA